ATTTTGAGTGTGAATCAAGATATTGATGAATATTTAGAGTGTAATTGATCATTCGAGCTGTCTTTCCTTGTAGGATCATGCCTTAAAGAGTGGTCTTTCAGGTAGAAATGCATTTGGTTGAAAGATAAGTAAGCAGTTGAGTGGTTGTAATGGCAGCCCTAGGCCAGGGTTGTTGCCTGTGAAATGGGCTGTTAATTATACCAGTACTGCCCCTGCTCATGGGAACAATAATTAGACACATTATAATTGGTTACCTCCCTGCATCTTGAGATGTTTGCAGATTCATGATGGCCCTAGAATAAGTTAAACCCAGACCTAGTGCTTTAAACTCTGGAATATGATGTCACTGAAATAGTTTATAGGATGAAATGAACGTGTTGTTCATACATAATCAAATAATTCATGAACTGTTGTTGAAGTTTTAGTCGAAAAATGATTTAGAAACATGTGTTTTATGCTGATGGTATGAAAATTCTATAATATCTTATGAGAACACAATCTCTTTTTGACAACAGTTGAGGAGGACCTAACTGAAAAACAAACCACCAAGAGACCTTCTGAGCAACCTCTGTCTGATGTTGCTCCTCTACCTCCTAAGCTCCTCAAAACAGAGATGCATGCCTCTCAAGGTAAATAGTATTTACATGTCCCTGGATTGAGAAGAAAATTTATAGTGTATTACTTATATGTACTCTAATATTTTAAAAATTTTGTGAAAGTGTATAAAATAGCCTATGCAAAGACATTGTCCACTAAGTTCAGTGTCTGGGCTTCCTCAGAGGCAATTTATATTGACATAGGTTTTGCCCTGTGTATGCTCCATCCTTTTCTGTTACTTTACATGTCTTACTATATTTCAGTTGACAACTCGGCCTTTTTAAGTGATATAATGCAAAAACTCTTATCATTAGATTTCATTCCAATCTACAGAGCTTGTTGCTGGAGTTGCTCCTTCAGTGACATTCTGAGTCTAATTTGATCAGGCTTCTTGGGCTAAATTTGTCTTCTATGACTACTGAAGTCCTCTCAGTTATCTAGTGGACAGCTAGTGATTGGACAGGGATTTCCTTCAACGCCTGGAAGTGGTGTGTGTCCCCGCCTTTGCAAGGAGTCTTGTGTGTGTGTGTGTGTGTGTGTGTGTGTGTTGGGAGTCACCTTCAAAACTCCAGCAGGCAGTTTACAAGTCTGCTTTGTGCAGAGTATGAAGGTCGTCAAGTAAATGAGAGATGAGGGCCACCACTACGTTGCTGAGCATGCATAAGACCGTCTAGATTGCCAGCAATATCTCAGTGCTTTTCACCCGAATGGATATCTATTCTCCAGGTTTTCCTTTCAGGCTTTTTGGATAGCTTCTTTTGGGCCCCAACTGGTACTGCCGCCTCAGGCAGCTGCANCTTTCCCTTCAGGCTTTTTGGATAGCTTCTTTTGGGCCCCAATTGGTACTGCCACCTCAGGCAGCTGCAAGGTCAGAGGATTGCCAATAGCTGCTCAGAGAGAGCCGGTTCTGATTCAGGTGAAATAAAACAAGGCCTGATATCACAGATTGTCGGTTATGTGCAAGGTCGCTCAAACTGTCATCGTTTCCCAGTGTGNAGTTATCTGCAAGATTGCTCAAATTGTCATCATTTCCCAGTGTGGGGCTGTTGGACAGCTCCAGACCCATCGTGTCCTGTCCAGTGATGGCTAGGCTGCTGGTTTTCATAGCTAGTATACTTGCAAAGGTGTTTGTTTGCAAGTGTGCTCCCAAAGTAGGGTGAAGGGCATGGCAGTGGGGACGCTAAAATGCCTCAGACTTTGCTATTCTTTCTTGCGTTAAGTCACTTTTTGCTGAACAAATGATTTTTGGATTGTTGTAATCTTTTAATCAATATCCAGAGTTTTGGACAAGTGGATTTTGCCAGTTTTTCATTATTTGGATGAAGGCGTGTATTTTCAGAAGTCCTCGGCGTGTATTTTCAGAAGTGCTTAATCAGTTGCCCTGCAAGTGCCTCTGTATGATGACTTTTTATATGGGCGTTTTAAAATAATCTAGAGTTTTCTACTTATCTCAGCAGGAACAGTTTTAAACTGCAGCGTACTATAATACTCAGAAGCCGAAATAAAGAGTCAACGTTATGCTTGAGGCAGCACCAGATAGATAGTAGATAATACACCACTTTCATAAACTTGTCATAAAGAAAGCATTACAAGTGAAAGAGAACTAAAGACTTTTTGTAATCTTGCTAAGATGCTAAGGAAGACAAATATGTATGGAGAAGTATACTTGCATAGTGAAATTTTCTGTATCATTAATGGGTATGAAAAAGTCAATGCTTTCTTTTCTTCTAATTTAATTGTTGCAATTTTTGAAGTATTTGTCATTCAGGAAAATATGTTTTGCCCCTTAGTTTTATAGTCAATGATTCAAAATAAAATCAGGTAGTAATAACTCTCTTAGATTTGTCAGTAGTCAGTCAATAAGTGGATGGCTAAAGGTTGCTCGTGACTTGACTTGGAGAGACATGCCTTGGCCCCCAACCATTTAGGACCAGGTGAAGATTGACCTTGGTTGTTCTCGCTTAAAGTCTATTCTCAGACTTTGAAGAGTTCTATTGTACATACTTTTTCCTTAGATTTTGAGTGTGAATCAAGATATTGATGAATATTTAGAGTGTAATTGATCATTCGAGCTGTCTTTCCTTGTAGGATCATGCCTTAAAGAGTGGTCTTTCAGGTAGAAATGCATTTGGTTGAAAGATAAGTAAGCAGTTGAGTGGTTGTAATGGCAGCCCTAGGCCAGGGTTGTTGCCTGTGAAATGGGCTGTTAATTATACCAGTACTGCCCCTGCTCATGGGAACAATAATTAGACACATTATAATTGGTTACCTCCCTGCATCTTGAGATGTTTGCAGATTCATGATGGCCCTAGAATAAGTTAAACCCAGACCTAGTGCTTTAAACTCTGGAATATGATGTCACTGAAATAGTTTATAGGATGAAATGAACGTGTTGTTCATACATAATCAAATAATTCCTGAACTGTTGTTAAGTTTTAGTCGAAAAATGATTTAGAAACATGTGTTTTATGCTGATGGTATGANGATTCATGATGGCCCTAGAATAAGTTAAACCCAGACCTAGTGCTTTAAACTCTGGAATATGATGTCACTGAAATAGTTTATAGGATGAAATGAACGTGTTGTTCATACATAATCAAATAATTCCTGAACTGTTGTTAAGTTTTAGTCGAAAAATGATTTAGAAACATGTGTTTTATGCTGATGGTATGAAAATTCTATAATATCTTATGAGAACACAATCTCTTTTTGACAACAGTTGAGGAGGACCTAACTGAAAAACAAACAACCAAGAGACCTTCTGAGCAACCTCTGTCTGATGTTGCTCCTCTACCTCCTAAGCTCCTCAAAACAGAGATGCATGCCTCTCAAGGTAAATAGTATTTACATGTCCCTGGATTGAGAAGAAAATTTATAGTGTATTACTTATAGGTACTCTAATATTTTAAAAATTTTGTGAAAGTGTATAAAATAGCCTATGCAAAGACATTGTCCACTAAGTTCAGTGTCTGGGCTTCCTCAGAGGCAATTTATATTGACATAGGTTTTGCCCTGTGTATGCTCCATCCTTTTCTGTTACTTTACATGTCTTACTATATTTCAGTTGACAACTCGGCCTTTTTAAGTGATATAATGCAAAAACTCTTATCATTAGATTTCATTCCAATCTACAGAGCTTGTTG